ATTCTATCATTACTAACAGTTAAAAATATATTATTTTCATGGCATCCACATCAACATTTAAAAACTCAATTTTATTTGTATATATCAAAATTGTAAATTAAATAAGGTTTCCTAATTCTAATAATATGGTTAAGAAAATAAATTGAAAAATAAAGAAATCTCTATTAACCAAAAAAACCAACATGATATTAAAATCTACATTATCACTATTTAAGTTACAAATTTAATATATTATTTATCAAAATATATATGCTACTAATATTAATATACTTGATTTTAAAGTTTTTCACGTAGAATTTCAAATAACTAATAATTATAATTTAATATTCATCTAAACTTTTTTTTTCACATATGCATAGGGCCGGATCTGAGATTTTGGGGGTTTGAAACAAAAACAAAAATGAGGCCTAATTGGTTTTATAAAATTTTTTTTTTTTTTTTAAAAAAATTATAAGCTAAATTAGACAAAAAAATTTGGGGGCTTGAAACAAATGTTTCAATGGGCTTGGCGCAGATCCGGCACTATGCAAAACATATTTCCACAAAATCTCATGTAATATATTATGCGAAAATGATAAAAAAATTATATTTTATATATTCAACTTGGAATTGCAATAGATTAATATGGAAGTTCTTAGTTTTGAGTTGTTCAATTAGTTATTTCATTTTTCTAAATTTGTATGTATTAAATTGTACCAATTTTGCCTATTTAATTATAATTAGAAGAAATGAATATGATGAAACTGAATATAGTCATACAAAAATTATTAAAATAAAATAAAAATAATATATTCATTGAAAAACAGATATAACAAGAATAAAAATGAACATGATATAAAAAATTTTCATTCTTATCAGAAGAGATGATGTAAAATCATTGAAAAATTATCCAAAAGTTTACACAACCAATTGACAAAATAATATTTAATTCACAAAAACAATTCACAAAATTTGTGTGATTTTGTTCATTATTTTATTTCATATTCGACTATTATTTTGGTTTCAAATTTAAAATTATTATTAATCTCAAAGAAAACATTTTTATTAATTAGTTTGTTTTTTAAATTAATATATCAAAAAATGTATTGGTTAAACAAGAGAAAAAAAGATTAAACTTTAAATTTTATTGGCTTTTATTGTTTTAAAAGAACAGATATATAATTGGAATTAAAGTGAAAAGGATAAAAAAAACATATCTTCTTGATTTAAAAAAGTTAATGTATAATATTTTATCATCATGTCAATATTATGTTTCAAAAATATCCTTTGATTAATTTGTAAAAATTTTAGTTAGTTTGAGTATATTAACTTATAAGTGTTTAACCAAATAATATGTTTTTGAAATATGATATATTGTATATAGATTTAAAACAAAACCGTTAAAACCTTACAATTTACATAAAGTTATTAGATTAACACATAATATTTTAAATATATTATTAAAATACTACTATATAAAATTTATATCTTAATAAATAAAACTGATTGCTTATAATTTTTATCAACAAAATACCTACGCATAGTGTGGACGCAAAATCTAGTAAGTATATAGATAGATCAAGGCATATTAGGAGAGTTATGGACGATAAGCCCCCAAACCAAAAATCAAAGCCCAAAATAAAAGTGTAGAGAAAAACAGGTTGTCAAAGGTAGCCTCTTGCGAACCACATACAATATCTAGGGGGTGTTATTCAATCATGAATTTGAAATGAATTTTCTATGTTTTATAATCTTCTAGATTTAAAAATTGATATCAGTTTGATGGATTCATTTGTTTAGATTCTAAAATCTCTGCAATATACACTGGATTTTGATTCTAATAATTTACTCATAAAACTCTATTAGAATTGATTTGAAATGACTTAATGTACAAAGATTTTAAAAATTATTTAGTTTTGAATAACACTGGATTTTAATGAAAGATTTGAAATCTTTATTGAATAACACCAAACTTTAAAACCTTTTAAATATGATTTACAATCAAAAGAACCAATAACACTTGATTTTAAAACATTATTTAGAATCATTAGTTGAATAATAGTGGATTGTGGTTGGATTTAAATTTTATTAAAAACCATGATTGAATAACACCCCCTAGGGTTTTGCAGCGATATCGTTGCTTTGAAGGTACGTAAAATAATATTATGATAACTTGAATATGTAAGTGCTAAGCCATGATGTGGTCGATCGAGGTTATCTTGAGAGAGTTCCGATGAAATCTCTGATCAAATTCAAGCGTTGTATCCAAGCAATGGAAATCCACGATCGAATCCAAGAATTTCCCAGCAAGACCAGTTGATCTATCGTCAGCAATTACCTTTTCATCATCTTCTCTGGTGATGGTGGTGATGATGATCACCATACTAAAAACATACCATCATCATCATCATCATCATCATCATCATCATCATCAATCACCCCACAAAAATGTTTGTTACACACTAGTTGTGACGGTCTCGTATATATGCCTCTACAATACCCGCGGATCGATTATTGTGATCAATCTAACTACTGGATGGCATCGAAATCTTCCTCTAACCAACTTTGAAAAAGTAACTCGGCCTCACTCTCGATTTACACCCCTTTTTGGTTGGATTCGGCAAAGACATTCTCAATGGCACCTACAAATCAGTTTTGCTACAATTTACATATAAGGTTTTCGTCTCATTATACAAAAACAATACCGATTATTGCTAGCTTCGCTCCTGCGTATTTAGAAGGATCGCTTCATTGGCTCACCAAGTGTAAAGAACCCAAAGTATTATCTTTCCATCTTCACACCACAGCTCCCTTCTTTTTTTTTTTAATGCAAACCCTAAACACGTCCTCATTTGCAACCTGAAGAACCATTTGTGTGTCTCCGAGATAATCGGGGCCAAGCAAGTGATATGGATGTTCGATCCAGACAACAATTAAGGCATTTAATGAGATATATTCCATAGATGTGAATGTGAACGTCTACGAACCTCCACACTTGCCACTAGCAGTTTTGGAGGAGATGAATACGTTGTTTGTTTCATGACCGACGTCAAGGAGAACTGAAGATACATAGATGCCCAAACCAGATCTGATGATTTACTTTTCAAATCTAAATCTTACGGATGTTCTCTTTGTTATTTCCAGAGTTTAATCTCTCTTTCATAATTTTTTTTTCTTTTTTTGGTTTAGAGTTCTGAAACGAGGCTGTCTGATTTCTGTCATGCAACAGTATGTGTATACAGCTTCAAAGACTTTGAATGATTATAAAACAATTTTTATTTTTTTTTTTTGGTATTTTTGTTTCTTTGTTGCATCACATATGAGAGTAATTGAATATGTGGCCGCAACTTCATCTCTGTGCCCACATGTTTTTCAATGGAGGTGTGAGAGATTTCGAGTCTAGACACCCAATTATATATGAAACTATTATTATGTCTTCTCAACCATGGTGGTTATAACACTAGTGCGACCAATATTAATTTCACCAAACCAGAGATGTTTAGGTAACATCAATATATATCTTACTATATAAAAACAGTTGTTTGGGGCTCATTAATCTATCCACATCAGCCAAAAAAAACTTCTTCTTACGATTGCCACGTGTCATACTCCAAAACTCATTCTCATCTTTTCCTTCCAACTACGACAAACTTCTCTGGCGATACATTTTCTTAGGAGTTCGTAATAAGTTGTAATGTTAATTACGCCCAACTAGATCATATAGATAACCCCCTGCTTCTATTAATTATTGTTTTAAACGTGACTCCTCTCCTAATATCTTTTCTCCTATATTTCTCGCATAGATTTAGATCTTACACATCTCCAGCTTCAAATACGAAGAAGAGGGTAAATGAAGAAGAAGTCGTTTCTTCTTGCCTTTTCATTCATGTACGATTGTACGTAGTCTTCTCCTCTCTTTTTTTGTGTGTGCATATAGTCCTTTTATGAAGAAAATTGATTCCCTACAACAAAAAGAATAATCGCCTTTCTCATTTAAAAACAAAAAAAACCGAGTAAGACTGATGGGTTGTGGTGTCGTGGTGCTGAAATCAAATCGCCAATACATTATACATTTTGAAGATGGTTATACTAAATCATGGATCTCAGGGTAATGTAATATGCAAGTAAATATATTATTCTATATAAATTTTGAAAGCAAACAATCAAAACTGAAAAGTTTTCTACTTGATAGTGTCCACGATTCTAAATTAAAATATTTTCTCATAAGGAGAAATTTGATGTTTCATGTTTGCTTTTGGTGGAAGGTGAAGAATGGTAAACAAGGCTTAAACTTCCGACATATACTAAGATACAGAAAAAAAAAAAAACTTGAAGATGTACGAACGTTTGCTAAAGAGTTCGAAGAACCACCACAAAAAGAGAGAAAAAAATCCCTTTTAGATGGGGTAAGGTTCATGTTACATTAAGTCAACTATATTTTAGCACTAATTGTCATGTTTCTATGTTTGATAGGCTCCACTAAATCTAAATGTAGCTCACAAAACATACTATAATAGGCTAAGTTACATATTTTTTCTATGATTTTTGTTTTTCAATCTGGGAATGATCATGAAACGGAATGCTCAATTACTTAAGTATGAATAAGAGATAAATTATTGGATTTGCAGTTACATGAATATCTACTTCACAGTTACACATTTTAACTCGCATACTACAAATAGAATTGACGTGGACTTACACATTGTTAATCTTGAGAATATCAAGGATGCTAACACAAGAAGAGAAAAACAAAAATCGTTCAATCTGTTTGTAAATGTTTAATAGAAAAAATATGTCAATTCCTTACCATGCAGCCATATTTTCCATCATAAATGTATTCTACAATGGATAATAACAATCCTACCTTATCCAATTATACTCAATTTAGAAAAAAAAATACAAACGTTCTACTATTACAAAATATATTTTTTTAACAAATAACATTAGAAAAACACCGTGCGTAGCGCGGACAATCCACTAGTATTTATAAAAAAAAAAAAACCAGAAAATTGAATACCACGAATGACAACATAAAAAAAAAAAAAATAAACCCACACATATAGAGCATCAAGGTTCTATACTTTTCGTTCATCAGATAAATGGGACATACATACCAACTAAATCAGCACAGACCAAAGCTTTTAGGGCATAAACCAAGTACTGACACTTGCAAAGAAACCGCATAACTAAGGAAGATAGCTGAACGATATAACAGTTCTGCACAGCTAAACCGAGTAACAACAACACTTTTGACACAGAATATGAAAATATCGGTTTTAAGGTTTCTCAATGTTGGGGATAACCTGGAGGCGGGTAAGATGCAGGCGGGTAGCCTTGAGCGGGCGGGTATCCGACTGGAGGATGGACGGGTTGATCAAAGCGAGACATCTGCTGAGCCGGTGGCACGCCCATTGGTTGAGATCCAAACACTCCATCTCTTTTGTCCATTTCAAGCTTGTGTTGTGTCTGCAAGCAAACAGGAGATTGGGCTTTTGTTATATATACTCTAAGAAAAGATGGTTTCAGAAGATAAAAGATTCGCTTCTAGTTCTCGCTTTCTGGTACCTGCATACACGCGCAGACCCTGCAAGAAAATCAAGACAGATGCGTTAAAGGATTACACCAATGCGTGAACGTTGATAGTCTAGAGGGAAAAGTGAAAAAATCACATGTAAGTAAAAATACATACGTGCAATAGACCATATCAGCAAAGCAAGAGAGTATCTGAGAAGCCTCTGAAAGTTCATCGCTACCAACAAGGCAAGCGACTATAGAGAATATGCAAGCGACTTGGCTGAGACAGAACATAAATCCCTGCAAACGCCCAAAATGGGATTTGTTTTGATTCGCACAAACATGCAATTCGTATAAACCGGTCAAACTAGAAGAAGACAAAGTGAGTTTGGGAGTACAATTATGCAGTTGTCGCATTTTGTTGTCTGGATGTTGAATTCATCCTGAAGAAGAAAGCGGGTAGAGGCCACAGAGTTTCCGAAACAGAGGAAAACCTGAAAAGTTCAATAAATGTCGAAATATCAAAAGAGCTTTCAAAATCATAGCAAGCGACTCATGCAAGCACGCTTTACAAAGCATGAAATATCAAGAACATCCAGTTCATTGGTAAAGCTCTCAAATGATAATGTATAATCTACGAGTCAAATAAAATGAGCAAAGCAATTCGAACAAATAGCATATAGAACACAGTAAGCCAGGAAAGGTTTAAAGAATAGGGCTTTGGCGAAATTAAACTACTTGATCAGATTAGGACAAATGTCCGAGCAACACAGAGCTAAGCGCAAAAAGAAAGATGACGGAAATGTACATATCATAAGCTGTTTCATATTCCCATTTCATTTTCTTCACCAAAACAAAGAGGTCTCATTCACTGATGTACATCTAAAATCTCCTTCCACCAAAACAAGATAGTGATCGAAATATCACCTCGGTGGCAAGGCAAAGTTGAGGGCATTTGCTTTCTCCACATCTTCCACTACAAGGCATATATCCAGCACAGCAAGTATACCTGCAAACAAAAGAAAAAGAAAGACGCACAATATCTAACCAAAGGAAAGAAATAAATTAAAATCTTAGACCAGTATCTACACATACATTAGTAAATTTCATACCTTGACATGTCATTATAAAGTGCTCTTCTCCGAAGCAAGTAGGAAACACAAGGTCCGCTATAATTAGCAAAAAAATAAAAAGAACATATCAGGTATGTACCAAAACATACAAAAAATTATAAAATAAGAATGATGAAGAGAAATGCACTTGTTAATTCATTCATTCTATAAAGATGAGATCAAGAATTGCTCTGGTTAGCTTTTGGCGAGAACAAATTGTCTATACTCTATACAGATTTAATTCACTAGATCATACAATATCGAAACCACAAATTGATTCAGAGTTTGCTAGTTTGATTGCCAACATGAAGCTAATTGGAGTATTATAGGGTTTGCAAATCCAAATGATAAACAATATTTGAAGTTGAAGGAACTGTAAACCCCGTAAAAGCATAGAGCAATAGCAACTTACCACAAACACGCCAAGCAACAATCTGCAAAAACAAACAAAAAACAAAAAATACATATATATTTTCAGAAAAGGAAAATCATTTCTCCAAATAAAAGATAGAGAAATCGAAAAGAGAGAGATTTACAGGGCGTATCGGCGGTGACGGTGCCCATGAGATCGGAATGCCATAAATTCCGGTAATCCTGCCGGAGCTTCATCTTGTCGAGCTTATCCTGAGCCCCCGTCATTGCGAAATCTCCAAAACAAAATTCCAAAACCCTAAAATCAGTAGCTGTAAATAAGCCATTAAATCGAAAACCTGTTGCAAAGAGTAACAAAATCAATTAAGAATCTGATCTTCATTACGCGGATTACCTTTAAATGAAAACTGAAACTTCTCGTCACTGCTATCGTCTCCCTCACTCACTCTCTCTCTTTTTTAATTATCTTTTCAATGAAGAAAAGAAACTTAAATCAACTCACTTTCTTAGAAAAAATGAAAACTTTGACTCAACTTTTTCTCTTTTGGACAAGTTTGACCTAGAATTTAGCAAACTGGGGTTTTTGATTGGTTGAAAATTTGACATTCGGGAAATGCTGAAATTAGTGAACAAATTTTAAAAACTTGATACGTTTATTTATTTTATCGGACGGCAACTTTAAATGTTATAAAAATCAATTATGGAATGATGAAATTATATAAAACAAATTTTTAAAAAAATTGAATAGTTTTTTTGGCCTCAATTTAAATGTTTACAACATTATTAAAAACGTGAGATTTATCTTCATTTCACAAAGAGTATCGTTTTAAGATTTTATTGTTATTTTATAAAAAGTGTCGTTTTAAGATTTTATTTTTGTTTCACAAAAATATCGTTTTATATTTTCAATGCAGAATTTTAAATAATATTTCAGTTTAACCCTATTAATTTAATATATTAATTAAAAAAAAATATTTATTACATTAATAAAAAGCAAAATAATATTTTTTAATAGTTTTTTAATAAGTCTGAAAATGTCAAAATGACACTCTTTTGTAAAACAAGGTGAGTATTAATGTACCGTAATAATAGTTAGTGATATTTCTCTTTTTTTTTTAGTTAATGATCTCTATAATATGAACGTTAAACAAACAATCGTGTAATATTTTCAAGTCTAGACAAAGTTACTATACGAAAATAAATAAAGATAAACGTAATGACTTAACAAATATTTCTCACGATATTTGGTCAGATGGAAAAATCCACTGATTGTAGATTATACTCACAAGTCAATATGACTGTATAAGAAAATATTATCTAACGAACAAACAAAGAGAATCTTATTAGTAGAATCATTGAAAATGAGTGAGACGGAATCTAAGCTTTTAACAGTATCAAGCAGAAGAGAGAAGAGAAGCACATCTTCTTGATCTTGGTGTGGTCTTTTGAGTGAGTAGAGTCTTGAGCTGAACCTTTTGGCACTCGAGCTTCGAACCCCATTGCTCACTTTTTGATCTTATAGCTCTCATCACTTTTGGAAACTCCACAAACCCTTTGATCCCTCTCTTTATGTGTGGATTCTCCGAAGACCTCCTACTCGCCGCCGGTGAGCTACGAGCTCTCTCCAGTATCTTCTTTGGTTTCATCACCATCTCCTTGTCTCCTTCTCCATTAGATCCTTCTAACTCAGATAGCTTCTCCTCCAAGAAAAGTCTTGCATCCGACAGCTTCATCTGAACTCTTTCTTCCCTCAAAACCTCTGCTAATCTATGCATCTGTCTCTCTTCCTCAACCTCTTGTCTCAACCTGACCATCTCTGATTTCTCAGACGATCTCTCTTTTAAGAGCCTCTCGTATTGCATCTCCTCCGCTTCTCTACACAGTCTCTCTTCCTCCACGTCTTTGGCCAGCTTCTTGTTCAACAACTCAGCCCGTTTTCGAGCTCTTCTCTCGTAGTCCAGCTCTGCCTTGAGTTCCTTTATCTCGGCTCGAGCCTTGTCTAGTTCAGATTCCATGAAGACCCTTACGAAATTCAGATCCCAAATAAAAGCCTTTCGTTGGTGTTGATGCTGCTGAGGCTGTAAACAGAAGTAGTAGGGGTTATCGTAAAGTTTCCAGGTTTTGCAGACAGAGTCCATTATATCTTCTTCTTCTTGTTCTTCTTCTCGTACGTTAATATTGTGAGGATCTGGAGTGGGGATTCTGGTTATCATCGTTTGATGACTCTTCTCCATCTTCATATCCATCCTAGCTTTAGCTGTAAAAGGAGGCTTTCTTTTATTCTGTATTGTGTATAAAGGAGAAAGGGAAAAAGAAAGTAGGGTTAATATAATCTATCACTTTAGAAGATGGAAGTGTGTTGTAAAGGTGAAAGAGTCATCACATGTTTTATCAGCTTCAATCATTCTTTCTCTATCTTTAGAGAAAGAGAGAGAGAGTAAGAGAAGTAGGCAGAAACAGAGGCTGTCTTACTCTTTAGGTAACTAAAAAGGTGAAACTAATGTTTTGTGGTAGATTTCATTTCATCACGATTGTTTGTTGGCCCAACAACTTCCCTGTGCATTCAATGAATCACCTCCCGATTACACTGTTTTTTTCTTCTTCTTTTTGTACTCTTGGAGTGGCCCATTCAAACATTAATGCCTCATCTATTCCACATCTGCTAACTTGTCTCTCTCTATCAACTATCAAAGGACTATATTCAATGCTCTTTTATATGTTTCCTCGTGCACATGAATCTTACTGGAAGCTGAAATTTTGATTCCAGAAAAGAAACAGACTATGAGAGAGAGAAAGAGAGACTCACCATTGCTAAGGTAACTTCTCCAGGGCTGCTTAAAAGCTAAGCTTATCTTGTTTTTGTTAGGATATCAACTTGCTTTATATCAGAAACTGAAATAACTTCAGGAAAACCAATTCGAAATTGAAACACTAAACACAGATAGAGGCCAACGGAGATGAGTGAGCTCAAGTGTATTATTCTCTTGACTTTCTGTGCACAACTCAACCAGAATAGAAACACAGAATAATACTAACTCGTATCAGCTCTCTACATTGTAGATCTTTTAGATGTATGTGTTTGGGAAAAGTATGTATACTGTATATCTCTTGGAAATAGCACATCTTGATGATCCAATGCCAGTCATGCCTGTAGTTTAGGGCAGATTGGGGAGCTTGGATTGGACATAGAACCTGCAGGCCACATCATTGTTAGTTAGATTTACATACATACATTCTATGTCCAATGTACATATGTAACACGTACATATGTCTGCTAGACAAGGTTGTTTGGTGGCTGGATCCTCTTCAAATGCCGGAGGCGCTTGTCCGTATATCATCTCACAACTCATATCTTCAAAATCTACAACAGAAATTTGGAGAGATGGGCAATTTATGAAAACAAACACTCAATGTGGAAGAAGGGAGACATGGTGAGAAATGAGAGATAGATACTTACTTGGGTTCATGGTGAGAGGTAGGCCAAACTCATTGGTGAAGAAATCTTGGGTAGGGATCTTGCACATATTCACACACATTCCTACACACCCACTGTTCTCAAGATACCTTCAAAATCAACAGTAGGGAAAACAAGTCTGTGACATTTTGTGAAAACATGACAAGAAGGAAGTCAAAAAACATTTTTTGGAATACATACATACCTGCATTTCTTTATACGAACTCCACTTCTCTGTTTCACACCATTCACTTCCACTTCAATGACCTGAGAAGGACCAACCAACCAGTGAAAGAAAGGCACTGTAAGAGCTGCGTTGAACTCAGCCGACCATTTCGTTGGTGGGAACAGTTTCCTAAACTGTTGAGGAGCGCCAGGAGGAAGCATGGAGAGAAGAACCTCCCTCACGGCTTCTTGCTGCTGCGATCTTGAGCGTCCCTGCATCACTCTCTTTGAAACCTCAACGAAGCTCTCGTAGTCATACTCCCAAAACCCTTTCTCAATCTTCTTCTTCTGCGAACCACCAAACTTGTCCATCTTCCTCGCGAATAGACCCATGAACACTCTCGCTGCCAAACCATCATCGTATCTTGTCTTCTGCCCCATCGGAGCTGGCTCTCCGCTCGGCTCCGCAATCCCACATCGAGTGCTGCCACGTCGCCCAAATCTCAGATGAATTGCTTGCAGACTAGCAATAGCCGCCATGGATAAGAAGATCTCTCTCTCTCTCTGTCTCTCTGCTCTTCCCTACCAAAGTACTACATTAGTGGCCACACAACACACACACGCAAAAGGGTGAGACTGAGAGAGATTTTGGACTCACATCTTACAAGTGTCAACTTTGTTTGCCTCTAAAAAATGTTTCAATCTTTTAGTTGCGCTATATTTGTGTGGACTAAAAAACACTTTGGTGCGTAACTCAATCCTGTTATCTTCTAGAAACCTGCTTTAAAACGGAACCTATTGACTATTCAAATGCTCTTTTATTGGAAGCTGAAAAATGTGAGTACAAAAATTACCAAACAGAATCTGAGACAGAGAGAGAGAGACTCACCAGATCAGAAAATGCTTCTCTAGTTTTATGCATCTGATGGTGAGAAGAGGAGGTTTGGTATTCAATTACAGGGTTCTGCTTGTTAATTAATGGCACAGTGGAAAATAATTATCTATACTATTAAAACGTGGTGGTTTCTTGCTACGAGGAAGCTACATTTTACAATCATCTGAATCTGAAAGAAAAAGATTTGCCTATATCTATTATGACATGTTAATCTCGATATTATACTAACGAGACGCTTTTCTTCTTTATCAACCAGTAAGGAAAGTATGTTAAGATTCCATACTTGTGAATCTGCAGATCTTCAACTAGTTTTTCGCTTGTTGAATCTGCTGGAGAAGTGCTGCTGCCAGCTGCAACGTTGCTTGCAGACGTTTCTGTGGATTAGCCTCTGATTCTTCTTCTTCTACTTGGCTGTTGCTGCTACCTTGTAGCTGTAAATTATGATTCCCTTGAGGTATGCTTGGTGTCTGCATGTGTTGCAAATGGTTGAAACTTGCTCGACCATCTGGTGCATATCTCTCGGGCTGATTTGGAGTGTTATCTACCTGCTTTTGCTGTCTCGACAGAGTGGAAGCTAAATATGTAAGCTGTTCAGGTTGAAACCCTGGTGGCCCTGGAGTTTCTGTTTCGTGATACCGACTAAGATTTATATTTGGCTGTTTCCCATGAACAAACTCGCTACGCTCTTGAACGGTATGATCTACGAAGGGTTGCTTCTGTGAACTTCTGGTGTTGGTAACTGACACATCACGAGGTGGCCAGTCCAATCCTGAATACCGTTGACTCTGCTGATCGTTATTGCTCTCAATGTATGGATCCGTAGGTGCACTTTGAATATCTGGACCGGCATTACGTGGAAATGATGCTGGACCTGGATTACGTGTGTGTCCAACATCAGGAAAAGCTCGACTAGCCTCTGAATATGATGTTTCACCATAGTAGGTTAACAAGTCTGGATCTCTTGTCTCACCTTGCTGTTGAAGAGGCCTAGATCCAGAACCACCATATTCTAACCGTAAAATAACCCCAGAGATGCTGAGTTTGCCAGGAACTTTAAGTACTTTCTCGGAGAAATCAGATGGAGGCACGAGGAACAATGTTGTTGTGTCATCCAATTTAGAAACAGCTGCCCGTTGCTTCTCCTCCAGATAATGCATAAATTCATTATAGAACCTGATATCAGCATCGCTTCCAGGAACAAAGAAAACCACCCACGCTTGAGATGATTGGTAGTAATGCTTCGCCAGCATGTCTAAACCAGTTCTTGACGTGCAATCTACAAACTCAGGCCTGCAATTTATAACCATAATGAATTTCATCAGAAGTCTTGAAACAATAATACAAAAAAAAAAGTTGACTGATAATACGTTGCTTGGTTGAGTGAATTAAGCCAAACGAAACAAAAAAAAAACAGAACATAGAGATTATTAGAACAACTTACAGCATCATGTCCATCACTTTGCCCACAGGAAAGCATTTAGCACGACAAATGGGATTACCTCCCTTTGCAATAGTCCCTTCCCAGTTCCAGTCTTTTAGTGATGGTCGATTCAGTTCGGATGTATACCTTTTCCTTTCAGGAACAAATGATGGCACAGCAGCAAAAGATCCCATTAACTCGTCATGTGGTTCTTCTAAGCTACGTTTTTCCCCGTTCCTTATGCCCAGATTAAATGGCTGCTCAACCGTTTGATTGTATCTTAGATGTCCAGTCTCATCATTCCGCTCGAATGCATCATTTGGGGAAAAATCAGCAGATGCTCTTGAAAAATGGCGTCTTTCTTGCTCTACTCCACAATGCGGATGCCCTGCAAGGTGTCTCTCAGGCTGCACAGATCTTGTCTTCAGTCTCTTGGTTTCCTGGTAGTAGTAGTCTTCTTCCGGTAAACCCCATGTCTCTTCATACACTGAACTCCTTAACGGAAATCTGTGAGCATCATCACGGAATGTTGAACCCATTTCCCTAGGACTGCCATGATATTCATGCATATCTTGAGGCAATCTATGCGTAGACATCAACCTTTCATTATCATTCCTCGAGGCTCTTTTCCTGTTAAACATGTAATCTTCAGAATGTTCCAGATCCCGATCTGCTATGTAATGTGTGTCTCTCACACTGGGAATTCTGCTTATGCTTCCATAATTTCTAGCTTGAAGATAACCTTCTGAAGATCCCAATCGATCAACAGATCTGTAAGGCGGAGACAGAGACCGACTGGAAGGAGCTCTTCCACTGCTAGATGAGGAAGGTTCACTCTTTGCAAAAGAAATATGCACTCGAGGATTGCCAAATAGTTTTCCCTGAAGAGATTCTTTCGCCTCACAAGCTGCCATTGGATCCCGGAACTGAACAAATGCATAGCTGCGACCAGGGAATATTGTGATCTTCATTATTTCTCCAAATGGAGAAAAGACCTTCCTCAAGAGTGCATCATCTACTCTCATCGAAGCTGGAAATCCTATATATAGCACCTCACTGGGTTCTGCATTTCTATCACTCATTTTCGATTTGCTATATGTGTCTGGGCTCTCATAACGCATTCTAGAGTCTTTTTGGACGAAAGGTAACCCTCTTGGTGTAGACCGCTGGTCATCATGACGAAATGTATCTTCTGTACGTGATCCAGTTGATGACTTGTCCTGCAATAAACAGAATCACGAAGTTAGATATTAACCAACGCCCTACTTCACTACATGATTAAAAGAATCAAAATTGTAGAACCGCTATATTGGTCCCAAAACAAAAGTCACCGGCTTAGGTGCCAACTCATTTTTGAGTCATTTAAAGAGCTAACTGAGCAGAATAGCTTGCATTGGTGGTCGAGCAATCACATAAAACAATTCAATATAGCTATGATACACAGCTTTTGCCAATACGTGAAGAATACCCTTTATCACGAGCAAGATGAAAAAATAATTAAAGATAAATGGTAGAACCTGAAAAAGGATTGTTGTATGACGCTCTCCTGAATACAGCACTACATATTATGCTCAATAGATATCACTATAACGCATGATGCTAAAATAAACATTGAAACCTTCAAACAAAAAGATTGAACATATAAGCAAAGCTTTCACAATTTGATAGGCTCTAAATGCAAAGCTAATAGAAAAAAAACTTCAGCAGTGAGATTTTACTGTACAGCAATTGCTATGCAACTACTGTCATCAGAAAACAAAAAATTCAATCCAGTTCCAACACCATCCCATGATTGTTAAGATCTATGCATTACTATCAACAATATACAATAGATAGCGAGTCTTTAACCTATTAACCACTGAAAATATTCAAGAAATTCCCGACCATCTAGTTATCAGCTAGAACTCGTTCTATAGAAGTAATAGCTGCCTATGGAAATTAATTTTAAGCTAAAAAAGTTCGCAAGTTTTTACATAGGCAAGTAACACACTGAACGTAATTGACAATACGCCAGTCCTAAACATATTGCAGAAAAGAGTATATAAATTCTCATTTTCAAGCATCATCACTAAGCAGCGGAGAATTTAAGACATGATGGCATTGCAATCATTGCAAAAGCTAAACATCATCACAAACAAACAGCAAGCTTAAGACGTTTGGGCATGTAAGTTCTTGTATCCTCCAGATGGCAGTGAAAGTTATGATCAATGTTATCGGCATGGGTGCAAGGCTGGAATTGGTAAAAATGAAGCAAATGCTTCTTTTGATCAATTAATCCAAAAGCATGTGTCTGTTTGAAATTGTCAAGCAGGGAGGACCATAGGCAAATTATGAAACATAATGAAGATGAGTATGAAATGTTGACAAGACCTCATCGAACCCATGGTGGGTTAAGTGACATATCAAACAGAATATGACACCAACTGCAAGCTAAATAATAGTTTTATCATCTGTAACAATGAACTTCATATTTAAATAATGGAAGGTGGGAAATGTTACTTTGGTATATCATATAGATGATGATCATGCCATTCATCTTCATAATTATTAAGAGACAACTGAAGAAAACAATTTGCATTAAGTGGACTGATGCCAACATACTTCTGTTAATTTGGGTCAATGAGAATTGCATGAAGGTGGACCTGAAGTTGAAGCATATGGGATCATCCAAAGTTGTTTGGTAAATATCAAGTCCAAAAGCCATAAGGGCTTATCTAATTTTTTTTTTATATTATAAGATTTAGTTCAAGACTAATCCACTTCTTTCTATCACCATGAAGATGTTCCTGGAACACACTCGACATCAAGTGAGCTAAGAGCAAAATTATCACTGCAAGAATTAAGAGCTCCAGTTTGGGATCTAGTGATATACTACCAAGTTCATACTATCTGTCAAAGACATTCTGAATGCTTCTCAAGGATTTGGGCCTTTTTGGCTGGATACTTGTGTAGTGAATGATAAAGGTGAATGCTTTTGAGCTTATACTGGGATGCTTTGGATATGGAGACATACTTGATGATAAAGATGGCCAGGATATGGTTTAGTAGAGCATGGTTCTAAGTTACTAAGTGCAGAGAAACATAATTATCCATGTAAACTACTGAACTTTCTCATTTATGGTGAAAGAAACTTCCTGTTGATGATTAAAAAAGCCTGCTAAACTTTGTGTCCCTGGTTTCTATAGCAGAGTGTGGTGAGGCTTATAAAGAGGAGACATCAATGAGATATGAGCTTTTGTTTGTTATGCTCATTGCTAAGTTCTATATAAACTTAGACAAACAATTACGTATCATCCGAGTTTGACAATGGATTCAGAGCAGTCTAATACCAAATGAGAGACTTGTCAAAAATTAGTATCATTACTCTTGACTGCTTACACTAACTGATAACTTTCAAGCATTTTACTAAAGTTGCTTAATTTATCCATTCTATATTATGACTTCAAGTTGGAAAATTGTGAATAACTGAAGTAAATCACGTTCTTTCTCTCTCTAAATCAGCCTCAAGACTAGATACTAGCGATGTGAAGATCAGCTTCAAAGGAACAGAGAAACAAGAGTACAGATACGAAGCAACAAACTTAGAAAGAGAAGAAGATTCGAGAAGAGAAGCAAGCAATTGAACACTAACCGCCTTGGCAAACTCGATCCTAAGCGGATTTCCGGCGAGTGGGAAACCTTGGAGAGATTCAATGGCAGCGAAAGCATCATCGACGTGTTTGAAATTGAGGAACGCGTAACTCCTCGCGGGTTGAAACGCAACGCTCTCCAATTCTCCGAACCTTACGAAACGGTCGGCTAGTTCTCGTTCCGATATACCAAGGGGAAGATTCCCAACCCAGAGATGACGCGACGGCGGATTCCTTGCCTTCTCCCTTCCTCCTCCGCCTCTAGCTGACTGTAAATACACCGTCACAAAACAAGATCAGCACAAAAGTCACTGTCTTGCAACTTGAACAGTAGAATCAAGGAGAAGGAAAGTATATATAGAGAGAGACCATTGCAGCTTTCGAGTTTCTGAGTTTTCGTGATCCGATCTGATGCTAGAAAGAGAGTGAGAGAGAGAGATAATCCGTCGAGTTCCTCGCCGGCGAGAATCCCCTTTCTTCTTCTTCTTTTTCTTCGCTTCTTGATTTTTCTTGCGCTTAACATTTCGGCCCATAATAATTCCGTTAAGCTTAACTGGTAATTCGGGCCTAGTATATTGGCCCATATGTTTTCCATTTTTTTAATACCGTTTAAGGATATGGGCTGAATGTAAACATAGAAATATATCCGGGGCAATTCATAACATATATATAATACGAGGGCACATCTGTTAAATTAACTTCATGTCCGCTATATAAACATCGGCCAGCAGACCAAATAAACTGGACCTGTCATGTCTTGCTTCTGAATTCAGAAACTAAAAGAAAAAAGAAAAAACACTTTTATAGAGGGAAAAAATCCAAACTTACATTAAGAGAGAAAAAAACAGTTATTTTCTTTTTGCCATTTTTGGATTCTGGTGATTTTCAAAACAAAAAAAAATAAAGATCACGAGTGTCACTTGTGTTCATTGTAACCGTTTCATTTGGTCAATTCAATTTACAGAGACCACAAAAAAAAGACAGAACATAACCCAAAAGATTCTATTGTTTTCCTCTGTCTACTTCTTCTTTCTTGAGAATCTAGAGCTAGTCTTGAAAAAAAATGGATTCTGATCTTTATTTCTTTGATGGGTCTTCATCTTCTTCCTCAATTTGCCACAGTATTGAACCTGATATGTTTTCTTCTGATACAACAACGACAGATCTCTTCTCCAACAATCCTTATCTCAGTCCAATCGATGATCCATCTCTTAATTTCTTTGACAATTTTACCCCTCCAACCCATTCTTCTCCTCCAATCTCTCAGCTCCAAACCCTAAATCTCTCTCACACAAACAGTTTCCCCAATTTCTCCGGTTTCGAAAGCTTAGACGCCGTCAAAACAGAGCAGCTCATGTTTAATTCTCCTTTCGATGTTCCAATAATGGATGGTTCCTCGACTTTGTTAAGCTCACCGGAAAATTCCTTCTTCTCCGGTCACATGCGACGAGTGTACAGCACCGGAGATTTACAGGTTTTCTTTTAACTATTTGATACTCTGTTTTCTTTTTGTTTCTCTGTAATTTTACTCCAAAATAAAAAAGAGCTAATTTTTGTTTTGTTTTAGAATCTGAGAAGAGATTTTACGGGACAGAGCTCATCAACGACGCCGTTTTCCGGCGAAGAACAAAATTTGAAGGTGGGACGTTACAGTGCTGAAGAACGCAAGGAGAAGATTTCAAAGTATAGAGCTAAACGAACACAGAGAAACTTCACCAAAACCATTAAGGTAATAATAACTGTTCATACACGTAAAAATTAATAAATAATATTAAAATAGATTCTTTAATTAATAAATAAATTTTAATTAATTTAGAAAACTATGTCTTTTTTTGGAACAACAGAGAAAACTATGTCTAATTTGGAAAATTCATTCAAAATATTACATGTGATTTTAAAATCAAAAAAAAGATTGAAGGTTCACCTTTCTATTTGAGCGTCTGTATTTTTAATTTTTTTTATAAGAGAAGCATCGAATTTTAGGGTATTTTTAACTCGAACTTTTTATATTTATTAAACTCCAATATGAGATTAAACCTTTGGTAAAATCCAACGAAAAACCATTAAACGAATAATATTTAGATATTACTAAACAAATTACACACAAGCTTTTTTTTAAAAAAAAAGGGGGTTCAGTTCATCACGACATCACTAATCCAATAACATATGATTTTGCTTAGGATTTCTAACTAACTAAAATCTACTAAACAAATAAACCCCTTAAATTTTAAAACTAACTGGAAACTCAAACTAAACAAATTACATAAGTCAACTGTTTTGTTAACTAATGATTTAGTATTTCTAGTTGTATTTGAATATTTTTATTTGTACCGTTATTTAATATATTTTTTAAATGAAAAAAAAAATTGAAGTATGCATGCCGGAAAACGTTGGCGGACAACAGACCAAGAGTACGTGGAAGATTTGCAAGAAACGACGAAGTTTTTGAGAGCCCCAAGATTGCTATATCCTTCACTAGACAAGAAGACGACGACCTTTGGGTAATTAATTACTGAATTACCAAATTAGAAAACACTTTTTTTTTCCTTCCTCTTAAATTATTTCATTTTTCTTTCACTAAAAAAAATTATTTCGTTTTACACAAAATTGAATTGAGCTTAAGTTAATAAAATTGTGACAGAATTTGGATGGGTTGCATGAGGAAGAAGAAGCTTTTGTGAGCAGCTTTGTGGAATGTCAGTCTCAGCCTCAATTGCAAATGCAATACACAACGAGTTCATTCTGGTGAAAGCATCTGTCTGAGAAAGAAGGGATGAATATTATTCTTTCCGATTTAATATGAAAAATGGAGAAGAATCGATCGAGTCATATATTGGATATTAATTATGTTTATTCCCGCTTACATCATAAACAATAATTATACGATATATATATGACTCAATATAGTACTGCACCAGAATAAACAATTTTAGGTAAAATAGTGATTTAATAAGTCACTTAGTGATAGTGTCAGGGTGGTCTTGTAGCTTTTTCATTGTTTTATCTTTTTTATATAGAAACTGTTTTATCAGTTGCCTTTACATGTGAATATGTAGATAAATAAATCGTGCAATAATTTGCTATCACCGTCGGAAAAATCTTTGACTCTGAAACGAAGATTCTTCTGTCTAATAATGTCAAAAATATCAGAATTTGAATTAGTGGGGTACTAAACATCTAAGGTATGATCTTAGTTACGTTATACGAGAAGATTAAGATTTTAATATTGCGAATCACTGACAGTAGTCGAGATCCTCTCTTGTCAATTTGTCATGTTAGTCTATATATATATATATATATATATATATATATGTATATATGAATTAATAGCTTAGAGAATCACATTTAAAGTATAGCATAATACGTACAATAACTTTGTCGTAGTATCTTAATCTGCGTATGTCCAATATATGACCCGCTAATTATCATCAATAGAAGAAACTATATAGGTCGGTCGAAGAGGAAGTTGAACTTGAAATTAGGTATTTATGCTGCTTGATTATATATATAGATTTCGGGAGGTTAGTCTGAGTTTCTTTCAGGTTTGGAATTTCTCGGATTAACAGAAGAAAAAAATGTTCGCTGAAACTGAAAATAGGGTTTTAGCTCGTATGTGAATATATATGATAATACAATAGAATTCATATGAAAGATGTAGTTTCTAACGTTGATTAAGTTGTCATTAAAAAGAAAATATTTAAATCTAAAATAAAAGCAAGAGAGTTCAACTAACAGATTCTGGCAATATATTTTTATTTCAAGAGGTTTTCTTACACATAGCCAACAAATATTCGAGAGTCAACTCATTTAGGGTCAAAGCAAAGGCGGTTTAATTTCAAGCAATTCATATACAACTTTAGTGTTTTATATTTAATTATAGGTTTAATTTGGATACAAATTCTTTTATTTTTAATCGAAATTATGTCCGAGTGTTAAACAAACTTTTACTTTTGTACATGCTAAAAAAATCGATATGGGTCAAGTATGGTAATTAGTCCCCATTTTGTATTCTAATTTACTCAAATAATTTTATTTTTGCCGTTATGGTGAAAGATGAAAACATTTATAAAACTCAAATGGCCAAATGCAGACAAGTTGCAAAATTATCGACTTTTACAAATTCTAGCTTGCTCTATAGTTTCCGCTTTCGAAATAATTGATTACCTAAACAGGAAAGATGATGCTTTGCTATATGGAATATGTTCTGAAGAGATATTTTTGCTTTTTTGCATTAGTTTTGTGTTTTCTATGAAAGGTAGAATACACCAGAATTATTCTATGACTACGACGCATTAGTGGATTTGATTTATAATATACTTAAATCAGTCAAATTCGGATCCCATTTTAGTTAGATAAAACATAGACTATATAATTTACATAACGCTCTAAATGTTTAGAATTATTTGAGTGTTCGTTCATGACATTTTATCAATGAACAGAAAAATCAAATACTAGTTATCTTTTGCCCACAGCTTCTCGTAACTAATTAATTTTTGATTAACTTTTCTTTGGTTCCTTTCAATTTGTGTCCGGAATACCCCGGATAAGCTACCAACCATATCCTTATAATCAACTTGGACATATACTTATTCTCCATTTATTTGAAATAAATGTTTAAAAATTTATACTTTAAATGCCTTTTAAAAAAGTAGATATATACACCTAAAAGTTTAAACACTTACTAAGAGAATGAGATGGAATCTCATATCATATAAATATGTACATCTATATACATGTATATGTATATATAGTTGACGTCTTTGCCTTCTTTTTTTATATATTTCTTTGTATAATTTTATTTTATCTCTTATATATGAAAATATAAAGAAACTACAGTTACGGTGGTAAAATTGCATTTGGTATTGTGCTCCACTCGGAGTCTCGTGCATTGAACTCAACGATGACAATAGAAATGGTAATTAGAAAAAGAAATGAGGAGGAATGGTTATGGTTAACAATCAGCCGCCAAAATGAAATTACAGATACAATGTATATATTCTCCTTATATTCATGCTAATTATGTGCTGCATTGACCTTTGTATGATAAGTACTGTGAACAAGCTAATACTAAGGCTCCAACTGGTGATCTTAAGGAATGAAATGATGTCCAACTGGTGATTTTAAGGAATGAAATGATGAGGAATGTACTATTCCTCTCAATTCCTAAATTTTTTTTATCATTTAAAAGGAATAATTATTACATGTCATTCCTGAACAATTCTTGGGTTCACCTCTAGGAGTGAACCTCTTTATTCACCCCCTTCTATTATAACAAATCAAAATATGCCATTTAAGATTTAAAGTGAATTAAAAAATAAAAAATATAAAGAAAATAAAAAACAAATTAATAATAAAAAATCACCTTTTTAATTTTTAAATATTAAACTATAATTTTAATACTCTAAACCATAATATATAAATTAAAAATATAAAAATAAAAACTAAACTCTAACCAGATATTTAAATTTTCTTTTTAAAAATTAAAATAAAAACTAAACCCTAAACCCTAAACCCAAATATTAAATTTTAAAAGAAATTAAAAATAAAAATAAATCCTAAATCCTAATCCCTAAACCCAAACATTAATTTCAATAATAAAAAATAAACATTAATTTTTAAACCCTAATTCCAAATATATATTATTTAAAATTTTTTTTTTTAAATTAATATTTGAATTTAGGGTTTAGGGTTTAGGGTTTAGTTTTTATTTTAACTTTTTTTAATTTTTAAATATTTGGATTTAAGATTTAGAGTTTAGTATTTATTGTTTATTCTTTTTTAATATATATAATTTATATATTAGTGATTAAATTTAGTTTTTTATTTTTTAATTGAAAATATAGGATGCATCGAGAAAAAAAAAGAAAGAAGAAAAAAGACTAATAAAAATCTAGGCAGTATCGTGAATGAGAGGAAAAAAAGAAGAAGGAAGAAATTATTTTTCTAATTGGCAAATTTCGAATTGTGGGTCTCAGTTGTTTTTTAATTAATTTTTATTTTAATTAAATGAATTAGATGTCTTCATTTGATTGGATGAAAAAATAAGGAGGTGAATATAGAGGTTCACCCCTAGGGGTGAATCCAAGAATTGTTCTATAATTTATATATTAGTGATTAAATTTAGTTTTTTATTTTTTAATTGAAAATATAGGATGCATCGAAAAAAAAAAGAAGGAAGAAAAAAGACTAATAAAAATCTAGGCAGTATCGTGAATGAGAGGAAAAAAAAGAAGAAGGAAGAAATTATTTTTCTAATTGGCAAATTTCGAATTGTGGGTCCCAGTTGTTTTTTAATTAATTTTTATTTTAATTAAATGAATTAGATGTCTTCATTTGATTGGATGAAAAAATAAGGAGGTGAATATAGAGGTTCATCCCTAAGGGTGAATCCAAGAATTGTTCGTCATTCCTCTTCATTTCTCTTCATTTCTGTTTTAAAATGGAATAATAAAACAAATGTATTCCCTATCAAATTTATTAAGGAACGAAAGGAATGCAAAAAAAGGAAGTTAATAAAAGTATATAAATATATTGTTCCATTCATTCTCTACAATTTTTTGGATACCATTTACTGTGACAATTTATTACATTTTTTCTCTACATTTATTCCTTCTAATTTGTTCCTATCCTTTTTTTATTTTTTTTCCTTATCATTCCTATATTTCTTGAAATGGTCACCAGTTAGAGCCTAAAGGTGGCAAAGAGTTTTTTTATTATAATAGTATTTCCAGATTTGTTTAAGTTCACAAACTTATATTAAATTCTAGAATGATTACGTGGAATATTATATAAAACCCTATAAATAGGTGAAACGAAGATTTTTTTATTTTGTTTTGTTAGTTATTGTTTTTTGTTACAGATTTACGGTTATTAAGCGGCATGCAAAATGAACGTAGCAGAAACAAAAGTTGTTGAATGGTGATTGAAAATGGTTAAACTTGTTTTTTTTTTCAAGAAAACTATATTTTTCCCCCTCCAGAAAATACAAGAAGAAAATTAAATGCATAATACACTCAAATAAGTGCGTCGCTTAAATATTTATTTTTAGATAAGTGCGTTTGTCAACAGATAAATGGGAAATGGCTAACTAAATGCATTTCAGGATGAGAAGATGGAGCAATACTCAGTACCAGGACCGGTCCAAAGTGATTTGACACTTAAAGCGTACCGTAAAAATAATGTCCTTAATCGAAATATTTCTTTTTTACTTAAAATCGATTTTCTCTGCCAAAAATCAATTTTTTAAGCTTAAGATCGATTTTTAAGCCCAAATTATTTTTTTAAGCTTAAAATCGATTTTTTAAGCCCAAATTATTTTTTTAAGCTTAAGATCGATTTTTTTAAGCTCAGAATCAATTTTTTTGAAGCTCAGAATCGATTTTTCAAAGCCAAAATCAATTTTTTTGAATCCCAAAATCGATTTTTATAAGCCAACACCGATTTTTTGAAGCTCAAAATCGATTTTTATAAGCCATAATTGATTTTTCTTTTAAATATTTGATAGAGATAATGACTTTTATTTATAGGCAATTTTTTATTCCCATTTTTTATATTTGGTCGATGTGGGACAAACTTATTTACACACATTTATAAATAAAATTTGAGCTTTTTTAACTGTCCGAAAAATAATATCTTTTAGGCCGCTCTGAAACCATTGCTTCACGGGCCTGGACCGCCCTGCTCAATACTGTGAATAGTTTTTAGTTTTACTACAATACAACAACAGCTAGTAGGCAAATATAGATTATTGTGTTTCTTATTTTTAACCATGATGATTTTTCATTTAATAGTTTTATTACTTAAAACTCTTAAAGTTATGAACTTTACTTCTAACATTTCCATTTCAAAACCAATTCATATTGGTAGTTTGGTACACATACACCTTGCAGATTTAGAGACCAAAATTCAAACATTTTCATTTCTATTTCAATCATGAGATCATAGTAAATACTTTAAATAGCAAAGAGTATTTTCGATTC